CCCCCCCCCTCCCCCTCTTCCGTTTTTAAGCCTGGAGTCTCAAAACGCCACTCTAACTACCACCGCACGTCCCCTGCCCCCCTCCCCCAACCCACCCCAATTTCAGTCAACGCAACCCGTCTCTCGTGAAACGGCACCCGAAGCTGAACGAGCCAAGCCGAGTTTTAGTAACCGCCGTTGCTCATGTGCCTTGCTTCGCCAGAACATGTAGCAATGCAGCGGGCGACTTGCCAATACATCCTGTCACGGGGAGTCGCTTCGAGACCTACCGATAGTGCAGGGACCGGTCATCAAGTCTACTGCGGGTACTGCGCAAATTTGCCTGGCAGATTGGGGCCTGTGGCTTGTTTCGAGCACCACTTGCTGCTAAGTGTAGCTATAGGTGAATCAAGGCCTGGGTGCTTGTTCACTTATGAAGTGATCGGTTCAGACCTCCTTTTTGGTGTGTGAGTCGTGACTCTGTTTGTTCGAACCATTGGCGATCCCTCCCCCAGGGACTTTGGTAGCACTTATTTTACTGTAGAAAAGTATATTTGAAACCCCCTGTCGCCCCACCCCAGCACCCTTCGAGGGGGAAGTGGGTGCAGCGAAGCGACCGGAGGAGGGAGCAGGTTGTAATGACGAAGGAAAAAGATAAGGTGAAAAATCGCCCCCTCCCCCGCAAGGAGACCGTCCTGAATCCGCCTATGATTACAGCAGTGATTTGAGGCCGGTTTTGTGGAACTGTGCTGTGCTTCCGTTTTGCAAATCTTGCAGCAATGTAATTTGCAACGAATTTACCGAATTTATTTTCGATTTCTTTTATTACCACCATCCGAAGCTTAAGTAGGTAGGCGTCAGCACAGGCCTGAAGGTAGGACTCAGAGTGGCCTTGTTGTGCTGCACGTGCTTTCACACTTAAATTCTTGCTGAATTTGTTAGTCGAAAGCGGGCATAGAACTGATTTGGAAAGATTGACAACCACTAAAACAGGGCTCGACTAAGCCGGGCCGGGCTACAAGTCCTGATTCTCCTGACATGTCCTTCGGTTTATTGGAACTTGGCTTGGCTTTGCTCAAGCCCGATAGCTGGCACGAAATTTAAAAATATCCGCTGGTCTTTGCTAAAATAAGAAAATCAACAAACGAATAGGTGCTGCCCCTCTGATGCCCAGGTTGCAGCTACAGAGAACTGATAGCTGACTACTGATAGTGAAAAAATGTGAAAATTCTATCTGCCATATTTGTCGAATTGCAGTTTGAATGATTTTAATTGTAATCACAGGTTTGTATTAACATTTATTTCTAGTCTGTGCCTACCTTCCACCAGCGCGTCGTTTTCTTCGCCCTACGTCCTCACCGCCAGCGATAGTTGCTCTGGGGCCAGTGGAATTTTGAAATTAACTTAATCACCGGTTCCGAGGCCTTACTTCCTGTGGCTTCGACCAAATTTGTATCAGAGCCGCGTGCTTTAGAACACGGCAATTGTCGTTCCAATATGCGTTTTTGCTGCCTGTTGCAGCGCTCTAACGCTGCACGGCAAAAACGCATAAACCCAAGCGAGAACGCGCACCAGGCGGGCCGGAGCGATTATGCGTTTTTGCACTTTCGTACCGTAGCAAGATCGCAAGGAGTAAGTGTAGCTACCAGGCGGGCCGGTGCGATTATGCGTTTTTGCACTTCTCGTGCCGTAGCAAGATTGCAAGGAATCACAGTAGCTAACCCTGCAACATACAGACCCTCGAAGTTCGAGAAGTTAATTTTGCAACTATGTGATATGTCAGTTGTAGATGTCGGTTTCTGTGACCCGGTAAATGGGAAGGTGCTGGTCCACAAAAAAAGCCACACCAGAAGAGTTAAATTTGAAATT